TTCTGCCACAGTACAATGCCAGTGGTAATACATGTTTTCCTGCTGTTTTGTTTTCTTTTCCTGCTGTTTTGTTTTCTTCTGTTACGGTACAACACTAATAACAATATATATATTCCTGTAAGCAGCAAAATATTTCAGAAGAAGGAAAATATTTTTCTGGTCTTATCTTCTTCCTTCTTTTCTATCAATCTTTTCCTTTTTTTTTCATTTGCTCTTCCTTCTTTTCTATTAATATGGGCATACATATATATATATATATATGTATGTATGTATGTATGTAGGAATGTGTGTGTGTGTGTATACACACAATTTTAAAGATAAAAAATTTTGGGTAATAGTATTATGATAATTAAGTTTTAGTTTGTAATAGTAATATAAGTATAGTAAATTTTAATGATTAAATTATCCTTCTTGATTATTGGTTTCCAAGGAATTTGAATGCTTAAAATACTACAATATGGGCATACATATATATTTATATATGTATGCATGTGTGTACGAATATATATATATATATATATATGACATATATGAAATGTGAACATCATCACTTGAAAACGATTGTGAGTTTATTTAGTTATCTTAAACTTTTTTAATTTTAAAATAATGTTTATTAAAAAAAAAGGAAAAAGAAAAAGAATATATGGATGCATGCATGCATGAATGATGTATGTGAGATTGTTTCATGGATCATGGGCTGATGTGGCATGATCATCATTCATCAGTATTGGGTGAGGGGTCATCACCCATTCGCACTCCCCAAATTCCAACTGATAAATTATAAGACGTATACACACACACACACACACATACACACACACACACACACACACACACACACACACACACACACACACACACACACACACACACACACACACACACACACACACACACACATATATATATATATATCCATGAAACAAGAAATAGATGCAGGCTGAGCACTGGGGAGATTGGAAGGCATGATGGGGGGGCAAAATCCTCACATGGGTTTTCGAGAATTTTACAAGTGTATGGAAGGGCATTGAGTTTGCTGCTACGAAGCTAAATCTGGTTTTGGATAATGTTACGTATATGTGTTTGTATGTATAGCCTCCCATTTTAAGTCTGACTCAGTTTCTTATAGAAGATTATTACTTCAAATTTTCCAAAAAAAACAAAAAAAAGGTGACGCTATTGCTTTCTGATTTCGCACTTTACTACGATTTTCATGAGAAAATGAAGAGAGAAAAAAGAAAAGAAAATCCCACTTTTGACTGGGAAAACTTATTGTGACCCAATTAATCATTGATTTTCTGTTATGTGAGAGAAGCGCACACCCATGTTTCTTTCTTTTTCTCTTTGATAATGATGTGGTAACACACACACACATATATATATATATGTATATGTATATGTATATGTGTGTACGTGTATGTAATATGATTGAAAAGACAAGACCATATATTGATCCCTTTCTTGGTGGAATTATGACCAAACATGGTCCCCTCAAATCTACCTCTCTCTCTCTCTCTTATCCATTAATCCCAACATTGTTTGAGGAGAGTAGTGGATATACAATATAATATATACGTATATAGCCTCCCTCAATCACATATGGCTGATGTATGTCCGTATATGTATATAAATCACATGTGGGTTTTTCTCACATTAAAATAGGAGGAGGAAAAAGTGAAGAAGATTTCTCCAGTTATAATAAGCTGAAGTAAGCATGAAATCTTGGTGGGCTCCTTCCTTTTTTTAGGGTTTAAACTTTAAAAACTCTCACTCCCTTAAAACTTTGAAATCAGGTGCATGCATTTTATCCCCGGAAGATCCTTCTTTAGTTGATGCTCAAGAAACGCATGCGTTCATTTTGTTTGCCGGCTTTTCTTTTTATATATACATATCTATGTGTGGGGGGGTGTGTGTGTATACACGCTCACGCACATAGATATACAAATATGTAATAATATATGTGTGTGTGTGTGTGTGTGTGTATGTTCCATTCTAGAAAATGGAGAAGAGCATGATATGATCTTTAATGGATCCTCTGTAAGTTGCGGTAGCAGGATCTTTCTCAATCCCACCTCTGATTTTCTTCGTTGGACTTTTTTTCCTCTCTTTCTCTCTCTATCTCTCTCTCTCTCTCTCTCTCTCTATATATATATATATATATATATATACATATAAATATAAAACAAATTCAATCATGTGGAGTCAAGACGAGTGTTGAATAAGTTTCTTGAAGTGATATTCATACACTAATTAAGGACAAACATCAAAATGAGACGATCTTGTTCATGACAATAACTTGGTTGTCAATTTTCACTTCATTGAAATAGAGAAGATAGAAAGCATAAACCCTGTTTTACCAGTCATTCAATCAACAAGTCCAAATCATAAGGGCTTGACAAAAGATTTAGAAAAAAAATAAAAAAC